TATATTCGATATTCATTCATTCGATATTTTTGATTTTCCGAATTTATTCGAAATTCATTCATTCGATATTTTTGATTTTCCAAATTTATTCGAAATTCATTCATTCGATATTTTTGATTTTCCGAATTTATTCGATATTCGTTTATTCGAAATTTTTCATTTTCGAATTTATTCGATATTCATTCATTCGATGAAAAATTATCGAATTACCCAAGTATACTTCACACGGTTTCAGTGGACGCGATTTGGCAGTATTCCAGCTGTCCATTACGCACTGTAGGCACGTTTCAAACGTACGGAATATAGGGCATTTTATCAATCTAAGCACTCAGACAGCGGATAGGACCCCTCCGGCGGAGAAATGGCAGGGCCGCGGGGTTTCCCCAGCGGTGGGTCTGCCACTCGTCCGCCGGAGCCCTCCCATTTCTTCTCCGGAGACCTCCCATTTCTGCTCCGGAGCCCTCCCATTTTGTGCTCCGGAGACCTCCCATTTCTGCTCCGGAGCCCCCCGATTTTGTGCTCTGCAAGTCTGCCGCGGCATACTGTAATTAGCCCCAATTAAGCTCCAAACCCCAATTTTGTCTCTAAACCCCACCCAAATTAGCCGAATAGGACCCCTCCCCCCCCCCCCCGGGTAGGAGTTCAGCGCGACCCTTACCTCCGTACTCTACCCCCTCCCTCTCGCCCCTAGCGTTTGTGGATAGAAGATAGAAGAATGAAGAAACAAGACATTTATTTCAAATTAACTGCAAACAATCTCCTGCAAATTGCAAAACAAAACTTAGCAGCTACAAAACGGACAAAGACAACAGTTGCCGGCAACCTATGGCCGTACCCTAAGCGAAAACATAAGCGAAGTAAGTGTAGTGAGTTAGACTGCTTGGAAAAACACAGCGCAAAACCTTTTGTCAGACATTTCCGACATTTTTGACATTTTAGACATTTCTGATGACGGAGGTGCATCTGTTGAATCTTCTCCAAGTTCAGCACTGCCTTGTATTCTCTCGCCATCAAATTCCTAAAATCTTTGAGTTGAGCCTCAAAAAGAATTTGGGAGCCATTGAGATTCAGCGAGAGAATATAGAAGCAATGAAACATAAAAGCAACACTGTACACTTATGCGATTGGATGATATGCGATATATATTTTTTGAGGTGCACAAGAATATAGATGGAAATGCTACGATTCCAAGGAAGAGTTTTCGATAACAGTCGATTCTGAACACAAATGTCAGTGCAAAAGTCATCAATTTCCTATTAAAGATTCCGTTTCCTGAATAGACGAGACTAGGAACCTACTAGGATGCATAAATAACACCGTATCAACTCGTTTTTTATCGAGAGGACGAAAGAAAATCGAATTGGCGCTGATCGGCAATACTAAAACATTGAGTATATGAAGCTAGAGGTCACCCATAAAAGAGAATCTTGAGAAGAGAATCTCGCAAAAGAAAGCAACTGGAGTGGGAAAAACCTTACCTTGCTGGTCATTGTCATTTCCCGCGTGGCAAGATTTATCATCAAATGAACTAGTTGTTCATCCAGTGACAATTTTCGTTTCCGATACTACATTGTTGATAGCTTCCAGAACAAGAGCCTTATTTGATGCTGAGAGTTAAATTCAAAATAACGATCAGCACAGGCACGAACAAGCTTCCTTAAGATAACCTATAAATCACCTTGGGATTCTGCAGCAGGTAGTGATGAGAAGCTGTGAGTAAAGTATTCGATTGGTTAACTCCGACAGCTCTCAAAGACTCGGACACCTAAACGAACTTAACTGAAAAAAGCCATTACATTATATATAGACGATTCGCAGGCAGAGATAGATTGCCACTGCGGACCCTGTAGGCGTCTCTCAGATTAAACACACTTTCGACTTCTTAGCCGTTTACTGCCTTTCCGCAGCACACTCTCCTATGACGCAACAGCGTCCAGCCTTTGCGCGCAATGAATCGTCTATTGAGAAACACAACGATTCTCAAAAAAAGTCGTAAGGATAACTTGAATGTCTATACACAAAATATTTGGTGCAATTTTACTCTCATTCGCTTTTGGCCGTTCCCAAGCGAAGTTTAGAACTTTTTCCAAATCAGCGAATGTCTCAACATGTCTCTTGCAATATTCTGCATGAAGATGCGTCGCTTTGAGAATTGCAAGAAAATTCTTGAAACTGCTAATTCTTGAAATTTTGAAACTTTCGTCATCGCGGTCGAGCAGAACGACATTACGACACCAGTGCCTCTAATTAAGGCAATCAGTGAAAGAGAAAGGCCACTGAAACAAGAGATGAGCGAGAACAAGAAATCGCTGAAAGTACACCTCGATAAGTGGCTCATAGGACTTTGATCCAGATGTTATGTCCGGTAGATATCAGATATAAAGTTGCCTAGAAACCCTAACGCTTACCTTAGCATGCATCTGCCCGAAAAGCCACAGATAATGTTCGGAACGAGCTCAAATTAATCACAAAAACCATTCCATCAAAAGTCAACGATGTCTCAGCAAGTCGAAAAGAGCCAAACACTGAAAGTGATTGAGTGCATCCGCACGAAAATTTGAAACATAAACCTGAAAACGAGGAACTTATAACAACATAAACGCCAACGCGACGAAGAGCAACGCGGAAAAGAAAAAAACGGTAAAGAAACGCGGAAAAACAACAAAATCAAAGAAACAACGACTAAAATATGGAGAAAGAGCGTAAACAGAGGACTCATCACCGTGGAGTTAGACGTTTGCTTGGCTACGCGCCAAATCGATACGCAGCCTGCTCCGGAGCCCTCCCATTTCTGCTTCGGAGACCTCCCATTTCTGCCCCGGAGACCTCCCATTTCTGCTCCGGAGACCTCCCATTTCTGCTCCGGAGCCCTCCCATTTTGTGCTCCGGAGACCTCCCATTTGTGCTCCGGACCCCTCCGATTTTCTCCGGCGCGGCTCGTCCAAATCTGGCGGACTCGTGGCGGGCAAATTTCTCCGGCGAGGCTCTGCCAAATCTGGCGTACCTCCGGAGCAGAAATGGCGTACCTTTGCAGCAGGGCCGGAGAAGGGTCCCACTTGCCTGCCAGTGATGTCACCGCGACCTACAAGAAGGACCGCCCAATCGCCCCGCTCTCATTGGTCAACTGGGTCCGGCGCGACTCTGGCAGATTCCCATTGTCCGGCGGAGGGGTCCGGTCGATTGTCTGAGTAAATTATACACGTTATGCATGTGCAGTTTGCTGATGTTGGATCCGAAGACTTCTGGCAAATTGCCAAATCGTGTCCCGACTAAAGTCGCGTGAAGTATGCCCGGCTCTTAAGAGAATCGATTCTGTCTGTACTTTACCACTGCTCTCTTTATTTTCATCCGAGGTTTCTAGTTCAGTCAAATTCAAATATCGCCCTCTCGAAATGGATGAACTTCTGTACATGGTAATAACATCAAAATAATTAGCTACAAATTTTAACCGCCAAGTATTAATGACAGACTTGTCTATGAGAAAAAGCGCCTGACATAAGTGGAGAAAATTGAGGTCATAGCCAGGGTCAAGCAAGGGGTGTGGCACACGATCGCTGGTTACAACCCCCCCCCCCCCCTGATTGCTGTCTTAATAAGACCCCCCCCCTAAACTATATACCTAAGATAGCATTACCAGAGTTGAGAAAGAGGTAAGGCACAAGTCTTTAGAAAACAACCCCCCCCCCCTCCTCCCATGAAAGCCCTCAAACGACCCCTTCTTCTTCCTCTTAACCTCTGGACCTCAAAGTGTGACATTCTGGAGGACACCAGCTTTTTCTAGAAAGTTTTCAGATTTCTGAGAGCTGTACGCCCGATTTTCTGTGACTGCACTTTACAATCACACGTAATTTGAAGGCTGATTTTGATCTAAATGGGCATATTGAAAGGGCCATAATTTTCTTATGGGTGGGGCGTTCGGCTCCGAATTTCCAGTGTAGCAAGAAGAAGCTATGTCCTCAATACTCATACCAGCAATGGAGCGCTTTCTGGGTTTTGAAGGCAAGTTAAGGGGGTGCGGCACACCCCCTTGAAAGCTGCGGTAGGCGCAGCATTTAAGAGGTTGTGCCGCACCCCATTAACTATATCAAAAAAACATTTTTAGCGGACAGTATTTATATGAGTCGATAGCCTAAACCTTGTAGATTCCATAGGACTGTTTGGAGCCTGATTCGTCTTCTTAGCTCTGAGTAATATTTGGTGAAAGCACAGCGATCAAAGCGAAAAATGGGAAAAACGAGATTTTGGTTGGCTTCTAATTCCACAGTTTGCAGGTCTTCTGAAGCGCGATTCCTGAGTTGGACAAAGACGGAGTAGTGCTTTGTCTTGAGTGCAAATACGGATAGCTAATTCACCTTTGAAACAAAGTTAACCATGTTGGAATTTGACCATTTCATTTAGGTAGCCTAGTATCTTGAATCTTCAGAATTCGCTCACACTTTGTCTACAGGGGTTAATTGACATGCTAATTATGGATATGATACAAATATCATGTTATCACTATTATCAGATTACCCAACTACGACCTTCTCCCCTTTTGACTCCTCAATACGACCCCCAGGTGTGGCGTGCCGCACCCCACGCTTGACCCTGGTCATAACATATTTCAAAAATGTGCCCTAGGTCAAAGAATGACTCCACAGAAACTGAAATCCTGCTTAGCTTCATTTACCAGAAATTGAAAAAAAACGAAAATGAAAAAGGCTTGCAACCGTCAATCAATCATTCGATTATTTAGCTATGACGTAAATGATGTGAATGGTGTCAAACTTTGTTGCCTGACGTTTTGGCAGACGTCTTTAGAGGCTGAAAAGTTGTCAGTCACAATCAACTACGCTCTCAACCGGCAATTATCTCCGATATACAATTGCAAAAATTCATTGTTTATCACCAAAAACTATGCCCAAGTTCAAAGATAAGAGGACCTTCAAGACATGGAGCAGATTTATTTGACTTATGGTTACCGATAACATATGTAGGAAAACACACATAACACACATAGCGTCAGAAAATGAAGGTGGGTGGGTGTGAGGGAAAACCGGTACTCTTAGACAGTGAAACACATAACTTTACGAGAAAAGGAGACAGAAAAAAAACGATCAAGAGCCACTTGAGAAAGTTGAAGGTTCCAAATTGCATTGACTTTTAGAAAACTTTCTCATTCAAAAACATCTTCTTTCATATCCATAATTTTATCGCTGAAGTCATCTTCTTCAGGTGGATTGGCGGTACGAGTTGGCGCTGATCCCACGCGTTCGATGCTTAGCTTTCCATCATATCGAGATTTGTCCTGAAGGAAAAGGTCAACGGGATTCGAATTATAAACTGAAGGCAACAACTTCTTGACTCATAGAAGATCCGCTCATAGGAGCAATTGTTGGTGCTGTCTTCTCTGCCGATTTTATGTAGATTGGGGATTTGATGACGGTGGGAGTCTAAGAAATAGTTAAGTTGTGAACTGAGGATTTTATATGGTACAACATTTGCATACGTCAAAGTTTGTCTTGGACACAAATGGCGTCTCCGCTGGCTTCCAATGCATAGTTGTAGTTTCAAGATCGACTGGAACTTGTGGGATCCCGGGACTGTGTAGTGGATCCCACTTGCAGAACTGCATCTCAGGATGATATTTGCAAATTGACCACTTTGAGTCTTCTTCTTCAGTGATAATGTTTTTATCCTGAAGAATATCTGCAGATGGTCTACTTAGCCACTTATCAAGCCCGGCTTTAAAATTCGGCTTAGCCGGTTGAATCCAAGTTGGTCTGAGCGGCGCAAGTTTGTATTTTATCCTTTTGCAAGATTCTTAGCGTCTGTGATAAGAATTGACGTCTGTTTGAGTTGTGATAGACATGATTCTGGAGCGTAGCCGGTGCGACATTAAAGACAGTGTCCCGACAGATTCGCGCTCTAGACGATATCGCTATGGTGGAATTCCTGGTCATTCCACTGGCCTCCAGGCGCAGTCCGAGTGGTTGAGTTGATCTTCCCCCTGGGCCGAGAAAATAGCCCTTGAACCGGCGCGCGCTCGGACGACTTCGCCTACCATTCGGCGCGGGACTCAACGACCGCTCTCCCGCATTCTGCATGCTGTCCAAAGCAAAATTTACAGGCAGCAGGGTCTTCGTGTCAGAGCCCCCCAACTTTCCATTGAAATTCTCGTCCGAGCTGCATTTTGGAAACTGGACGCCTCGAGAAAGGTTTTTTCACCCGTTTCAAAGCTCAGATTCGCGGTCTACGGGTCAGAAAGGCCCAAAACGTGCAAAAAGATGGAAATGCAAAATTTGCCGGGGCACCTTTTAGAGGCAGCGTCCACCCAGAATTACGTTTCCATGTTTTGACCTACTGTTCCTTTCCGTGGCCCTGATTATGATTATGAAGCACAAGTTGTACACAACCCCCAAAACCCGATTTCTGAACCCTGCCCTGAAAGCGTGGGCGACTTCAAGTCATTGGATGGGCAGAGCTCGATGGGGGGGGGGGGCTTGATAGCACTTCTGTTTTCCAAGTTCATTTTATCCGACGCCGCATTGGAGAAGGACCAACGCAAGTGCGCCTCTTTGGGGTCTACTTATAAACTATATTATAATTGAGGTAGCTTAGATTTTGCCGGGTGTTCTACTGCTTCTAGAATATCAAGCTTCTAGAGTACCATACCTTTACCAAACTCAAAACGAGCGAGAACAAGCTCTCTTGAATCTAATCCCACTTTTGCGGTTTATTGCTAGTGTTTGAAGAAATTAAGAAGTCGGGGAAGAATGATTGAATAGGAAGGAGACAGGGCCCGGTATGAGTCCCTTTCTAAGCTCTTTGAAAACGAAGTCCCCTTTAGCTCTCAGCTCACCGTTAAAAACACTTTAAAAAACGTCGACTAAAAAACGTCGCAATTTTTTTGCGTTTTTTCGGCTATAAAACGATATCCCCTTTGCTTTTTCGCCCGAAAACGCAGTCCAGCTCGTTTTTATACGATCTGTGCTGCATTTGAGAAGAAAACACCAAAGATATTTTAGGTATTTGCGTTTATAAATACTAACTGGTCGACGGCAAAACGATATTAACATGGAAATACAAAGGAACTAATGCTGCTTATAGAAAAAATTTTTCGGCTTGGTTTCTACATACTGTTGAGAGAAATTCTCAAAGAAAAAGACAAATCAAATACTATGGGAAGAAACAAAGAAATTTGCCAAGACAAATAAAAAGAATACGAGCAGCCTCAGGCTTTCCTGGAAGTAAATCGTTGATTTTTTTATGTAAAGCGAAGATGGTGTGTTTCACTGAGTACTTCACATTGACGTTATAGAGTTTTACGTATTTGAAAAGGAGCTTTGGGCATTTTCAAACCAGTGCATTTAGTTTTACTGAAATCAAACTTTACAATACATTGAATTCAGAGAATTGATTGGTTACCTCTCGAAAATCGCAGATGTCGCTTCTTCCTGTGCGTTCGCATAATTTTTTCCTCAAGGAAGTCGGAATAAGTGCTCTCCTTTCTGCCGGTGTTAGCGCAACTGCCTGCGAAAAACGTTTTGTAAAAGTTGTAAACTTTGAGAAATCAAAGTGAGATATACCTACAGCTGTTATATAAACGCACACGATTGGGACTAACCAACGCATTCAGGATTACCTGAAGTAACGAGCTTGAGTGGACGGGATGTAAAAGATGTGATTTTTCAAGATTCAACGAGACATCTGACTATCATTCATGGATGGCGATAAGGATTCTTGCTACTGTGAAAATGGAGCTCCAGAAAAGGGGAGAGTGATAATGTCTAAATTCGTGTGTAAGCAAAATGAGTGTGAGTTTTTGTAGAGTCTGATCAGAGAGTAGATTTAAACTGACATCTGTGCTTGTTTTCTTTTTCACAGCCTATAGCTAATTACTTCCCATTTATTACACTTTTGATATGTGACTCCTTAACTGTATTGTGTGAAAACTGTAGCGGATTGAGCAAGTTTTCCAAAGGGCGATACTCTACCTTTGGGGGAAAGGTCCCAAAACGCTAATTAGCCGCGCGTTGCCGCGCTTTTCGAAGGTATCAATACCGCTACCTTGCGAGAAAGTCAATCTCGTCACAATTGGCTGCTTGTGAGCGGTCGGCTTTCAGTGATGTTTTTAGCAACCTCCACGGTCATGCAGAGCTTCCTCAACTCTCACAACGGCCAAGGCCACGCTATTCAGAACTGGTCATGCACATTCGAGATAAGCTGGATTGCGATCTCGTGTGGCACACATCGGTGGAGCAGCCCCAGAAGGTTCAGATTCGGTGGTTCTAGTATTATTGATGATTAACGCTCTTCCCGCTGTATAAGATGTTTTGTGTGTTTTTTTTTCAATTTTCTACACTATAGACTTTAGACTTGACAGTAGGAAGAAGGGGGATGATGTGTGCGGTGCCCAAGTGCCTAAGAGCTAGAGGTGTCAGCAACATGAAGCACATTCACACCATAGTGACAAGCTAAGACCTGAGGGCCTCTAGGTACAAGCATTCTTCCGCATCGTGGCAATACTAGCATTGTGCAAGCACAGCTACATTCACACGTCAGGATAAGTGGTAGCAAATTCGGAGTTTTCAAAACCCTCTGCGGGCATGGGCCAAACGCACTCTACTCCGAATACGTACGAGCCTTTTACAGTAAACTATGGGGGCCAGCCAAATAGCAGGTCAGTGCTTTTATTCTCCTGGGACATACTTTGGCGGTCCACTTACCGGCCCCAGATGGTAGAGGGTTGGTTCAGGGCGGCGATCGAGCCCGGGTCCAATCTGCTTATAGCGGCGCCTCATACCACTACGTTACTCATCTTTCCGCATTCACGCGTACAGTTGTGTTAATTCATGGATGGACCACTAGCTCTACACGCCAATGCAAATCAGCTCTGTTCGCTAATTAGTGGAGCCAGAGACAAATCTCTTAAAATTTAATGAGAATAGAGAGAATCACTTGCACCAAAATATCTCATTGGAGAAGTGAAAATTACAAATTACAAGATGAGGTCACTCAACGAAAATAATTATAAGCACATCCAAAAATGAGCTGATTTGCTTACTAAATAGACAGAAGCACGGAAAGTACAAATAGCTATTGTCTACAACGAGGACACGTACAACTATGACTGAAGGAGGATCATAGTATGAACGTATCTTATTGCTTCGCGCTCATGGACTTCTATGCAAAGCTGGTATAATTGACACTACAAATGCATTAGGCTGCTTGGAAGGTAATCAAAGTAATTATCCGTATCCTACGATCAATCACCATCAGCCGAATCGTTTTGAGTCCTCTGTCACGAACGTTTTTTGGAGCATTATTGCTAATCGATCGCAACAAAAAGTATTCTCACAACGCAGATCTACCAGAGGTTTTTAAGAATGTAAAGAATGTTTTTGAAATGCTGCACGTGTAACAAAGCCGTGCAACTAGTTTTGTTTCTGGTGCAATGAGAAAAGAACCAAGGGCTGGATTATGTCAGTCCCGAGGATAGGTTTACCTACCTAGCAGACGATAATAGAAATCTAATGGAAAACTACATTGCTATGTGAGATTTGTACAGCAACCTTTACGAAATGGCTAAAGAGGACAGGTATGTAGGCTTTAGCTATTGATGGATGAAGTGAATGCATGACCTACACGTGAGAAAAAGGGGTCAAGATTACTTGCAAATAAGTTTTTTGACGCCACTGTGAGCCATCAAAACGATGACAAAATGAAAATTATGACGACGCGCATGTTACAAAGTAAGATTAGACACAAACACGTAAAAAATTTTCGAAGAACGAGATTCTAAAAGTTTGATATTCGACAACTACTGTGGAGCTACAAGTGCTGGGTGAGTTGAGCGGGATACTACCATTTCAAGAATAATTAGAAATAACCTAATTGTATCAAGGACTGCAGGTTATGAAATTGGAAGATCGACTCAACAAAAACCAAACAAGACATTACTGCGAATTGCTTCTATTAAATAAAGAAGGATTCATCCAACATAGAGTGATAACTGAAGGAAATGGTGTATACTGCCCTCTTACTAATCTTCATTGCGATTCTGCTTCTTTTCAGGGTGTTATCTATAATCACTTAATAACGAACGAAACTAACCTCATTTTTTTACCAACATCCCATTAATCATGAGCAAAAAGAGCGGCATTACAATTACAAAGCTAGCAATAGCGAAGCTTATTAACGCATAGAGTAAAGCGCAGAAAAGCTTAATCGGCCGCATCCAAGCTAGTCACGATTACGAGTAACAGGCTAATGATTGAAAAAACCAGACAGTAACCAGAATTGTTGAGACGCACCGAACGCAACCATCTCGCTTGAGCGACAGATGCTTGGATCGCTATTATCTTGTAAAAAAAACTGGGCGAGGATTCTGCAGGATTGGTATCAATTATCTGAGAAGTGCAGCAATCTAGTTAATCTTATATATAAAGCTGAATGTCTGTTTGTCTGTCTGTCTGTATGTCTGTCTGTATGTCTGTCTGTCTGTATGTATGTACGTATGTTCCGAATACAAATTTTTATTTCTGAACCGATCGGGACCAAACTTGGCACACATATACTTCAGGGCAGGGAGCGTGTCATAGGCTACTTTTCGTTATCGATCGATATCGATTTTATTGATTTTTTGCAAAATTCGAGCTAGAGGGCTGGGATTTGGCAGAGGGGGGTAATCGAGCATGCTGATCACCCCCCTTGGGGATGATCAGCATGCTCGATTACCCCCCTGTGCCAACTCCCAGCCCCCTAGCTCAAATTTTGCAAAAAATCGGTAAAATCGACATCGATCGATAACGAAAAGTGGGCTGTGACACGCTCCCTGCCCCGAAGTGTATGTGTGCAAAGTTCGGTCCCAATCGGTTCAGAGATAAAAATTTCTATTCGGAACATACGTACACGGGTCTAGCTGGCAGGCCCGGCGGAGCCGGGCAAGCCAGCTAGTAGAAAATAAGAGCGAGCAGTTGAAAACGAGTAAGCGCAAAAAGTAGGGCATGGGCAAATTGTTTCCATTGTAAAAGATTAGTCAAGTAAATTAACGCGTTTCAACAAATGTACACTTGAACAGTATAAGATCTGCAGTTATTATGCTACATACCGACAGCGACGAGCAATTCAAAAATTTTAAAATGGTCTAAATTAGGATATCATGCGAGTAACTTGCCTATGTTTATCGAAACCGTCCTTGACACCTCACAATTCTTCAAAAATGTAGAGTACTTCTTTTGTGCTCCCCAAAAAAATATTTCTTCAATTATGTTTGAGTACATACACAAGGTAGTTTACATTATCGGGAGATCGAAATTATATGTATAATTTCACATCTTTTGTCTGATCGCACAACCAAAGTATCAGCTTTTCCGAGGATAACGACAGTTGCAGTTGTCACTGTTCAGGAGAAAGCTACTAAGTATAAACGCGTTCGTGTTTCAGGAGCTCATGAACCTTTTGTCTAGCTCTTCATATACGAAGGACTCGCAAGATAATTATTACTTCCACCAAAAACGTCGATTTATTATAAAGCCTCGCAAATGGCTTGCAGGGCGTAAGACAGAGAAAGAGCCCAACTATAAAGTCAAATGCTCGTTTTTCTTTGAAATGAGATTTTCTGATGCGTGGACAATGCTTCGTGCATGACAACCAGAATCTGGTGGAGGTTCTGTTGACCTGTTGATGCCTCACTCATCCTCTAGCTCATTTTCAATATCAGTCCAAGTGTTTCATGTTTACTCATATATATGCAAGAACTGGCTTCTCCAAAAATTGACTATTTTGATTGCTCTCTTGAAGACTAACTACCCACATTAACACGGACATAATGCAAATGCATTTATATGCACCCTTCACGCGTTTTGGACGCGGGGGATTTTCTTCTAATCGCACAGCACGGACACGTCTAAGGACTTCGCGACAAAAAACCATTTACGGTGCTGCATATTGCATGAAAGTATCGTGCGGCATACGTCTCGTTTTCCGAAACGCAACGAGGAGGCTGAGCGGCACTCTTGAAGTATCGAAAAGGTGCGTCTTATACGCGTAAAGTCAGGGCAGTCGTTGCCTTTTTTCGTACATGGGAGCGTTGTAAAAAAAGCTCAAAGAGGTTCTCCCGCCCAAGCACACGTGGTTAAGACCATTCGCTCTAATGTCTTTCTCTTTTTTCGTTTGAGAGTAATAAATCGAAAATAACACACCATGATTGCAGCGTGGATGTTCACCCTTCCTCCTTGCCCCGGCTTCGCGATGCGAGCGTTTCTAGAAGTAGGAGGCTGGGAGCACTGATTGCTGCCGCGCTATCTGGCGACGATTACGATACTTTCTCACGCTTGCCGCAATCGCCTCCGGACCTCTCCTCGTCTTGGCGCGTTGCCAGCCAAAAGGCTATATATAGCGGCGGCGCCTCATTTTAGCGCGTGTCTGCTTTCCTGTCTGTTTCGTTTTCGATCGATAATCTTTTCTCTTGTTTCCTTTGGTGCCTGGCAGTTAGCTCCCACCTTTGATGTTATTTTCGCAGTAGCGGTTGAGCGGATCGGAAGCTCTACTGAATCGGAATTCAAGTCTGATTTGGGATTGATTTCGGACGAGCCACTTTTGGAACTTTTGAGACTTTGGATATTGAGATCTTATAAACTTTGGGAGCGGAGAGGTATCGCGCCTGTTATTCGGCGACGTGTGGATTTGCATTGGTGAAGCCTCGAGAGCATTCTCGTCATTGGAGGATTTAGTAGACGCGCACCATCTGTAGCCGGGATAAGGCATCTTGTCCCGTGTTGAGGTTCTTCACTTTAGTAGTTTACTTATAGTAGACTTGGTATTGTAGTACTTCTGTGATTTTATGCCATTAGGATAAATTGTTAGTAATTTAATGTCGTTCCTTTGCGCGCTAGGTGTATGGGTGGGCTAGGTCGCGTCGTATGTAATAAGCGGGCGCGCGGGTATCTCGGTAAATCTAGGTGCTTAGGGCCCGCGGAGCCGCCACTCACATTCATATTGGGTTTCTAAAGATCTTGACCTAATCCAGAACTCCAACCTCTACAAACGTTATGAAATGCTTGAATGCTCCACTCTATAGTATACTCATACTTGCATACTTATATGTACAGTTGTAGGGAATTTGCTTGACAAAGAAGAACTAGGCAATTGAAGTGCGGCAAACTCTACCCCTATTAACCTCAATGTCAGCTAAGGAGAGACTGCAGCTGCAAACTTTGAGTATGCATATGCATAAGGTCGAGAAATAGCATTCGACAATTTTCGAGTCAACCTAACCTAGATCTATTAGATAGTCTCAAAAGTCTTTTTGCTTCAAACTGATATTTCTCAGAAACTACAGGGTTGGCCATAAATATAGCGACAAGGTTTTCACCTTATATCTCAGAAAGGAAAAGTGCAAACGAGTCATGAACATAACATTTATTAAGTAACAACTGGTACATCAACAATCATAAGTTACTTCTCGATTCGGGCACCTTTGGCACGGACGACAGGGCGAAGTTGCTTGGGAAAGGCGTCGATGACCGGACGCAGGAGTGCCTCGTCGATTTCGTCCCATTCGTGGATGAGCGCTGCCTTCAGAGAATCCAAATTGGGATGGGGAGTGGCGCAGGCCTTGCTCTCAAGGTAGGACCACAAGATGTAGTCCAGTGGGTTCAAACCCGGTGACGATACCGGCCATTCTTCTGCCGGGATCAAGTCGGGGAGTTCGCTCTTGCACCACGCTTGGACGGCCTTGGCCTTGTGGGCGGGCGCCGAATTTTGCTGGAATGTCCACGGGCGGCCGTTGAAGTGGGAATTCGCCCACGGGAGTAGAGCATCTTCCAAAATCGTCTTCAGGTAGTAATCTTTGTCGATTTTGACGCCGGGGTCGACGAATGACGGCCGGGACGACCTTCGGACGGCCACTCGACGACCTTCGGCGTGCGAGCAGTACGAGGTCTTCCACTTCTTCGGCGGACTTGGAGTCCACCAAGGTCTCGATAACGTTGGAGTGTGCGATACACGACGCTGCGGTGGATGCCGAGGTGCTTACATAACGATCGTGGCGGGTGGGCGGCCGGCTTTGTGCAGACGAAGCATAGCGGAACGATCAGGAGAAGGCTTCACCATTTCACTATAAGTGGACCAAATACAACCAAATTCTAACAGGAGTTAGAAAAAATGATGAGATTGAAAAATCGATAAAACTGGCGCGCTATGTGCGCGATAGAATAGTGCGCTAACTGCAGTAAGTCTTGTCGCTATAATTATGGCCAACCCTGTAGAGCACCAACAAAGCTGCAAATTTGTGGCGTTAATTCTGAGTGATCAAGCTATATAATTACATATTTTCGAGGAACACAGACCCGCTACAAGCAAAGTTTGAAGACCTCAGCTCATTATTTTCTTTTGCTAGTATTTAAAAAAATTAGCAAATATAGTGTAGATATCTGATGGGGAAAGAGTGTGCGAAATTGGGAAATTCGCAGAGTTGTCTTGAACCGAGATACGATATTATCTTCTTTTTCCCGAAAATTCCGAATTTTTTTGGCTTGAAACTACATGCGAATCAAGCTTTCGAACTCTTGATCGCCATCTTGCAGAACTTGCTCTGATCTGTAGAATGGTACCCCGCAACCTATTAGAAATACAAGAAGAACTGACTTATCTCGCTGAAAGTTTAGATATAAAGAACTCATGGGATAACTTAATATACAACTGCTGGGTGTAGGCTATGAATCTCTCGAAAAACAACCACAAGTGTAAAAGACAATTGTACTTTTCATTCAGAAACATGTATAGAAATACAATCTGCACATAACAGGAAAATTTGACAGAACAAAAAACGCACATGAAACCGCATATTTGCCTGGGATGTGATCGAATTGAAGCTAGAAAGTACCGATATACTAGACTATCCTATCAGAAATTTAAACTAGAGAAATTTGAAAAATTACTAGAAAAATTTGGATTTGATATATAAAATCCGTTAGCAACACGACGCGATATGAACATCAACAGGCCAAGAGAAGCTCGAATGTTTATCGAAGTCCTTAAGACTGATTGACCATCGGGATAGGGAAAGCGGGAAGGGGTGGGGGGGGGGGGGGGGCAAAAAAAGAGATCGTTTGCGAAGAGTGCAAATTCGCATGCACTTGGGCGATTTATAATGACGATATGTACGAATCTATGAATTATCCGACTAAGTCGATGACTAGGATAGGAAGATTCTCACTCAAAAAAAACAAAAAATTTACAAATATAAATTTTCTTTGAGAAAATTTTCAATTTAACAAGAAATGAAAATCAACACATGGCATCACAGAAATGCTATATTTGGAAGGATTCAGAACATCTATTGTTTGTAGTGAAGGACTAGACGTAGACAGGTGTGAGACCGTGATTCTTCTCGAACTCGCTCCACCTTGCATCGTCACTTTCGTGCGTTAAAAATCGCTCACCGACCGCTTTTTCGAGGCAACGAAGATCTGACCATAAATCGTATCCCTGCAATTTTCGTAATTAGGGCATGAATAATGATCATGTATTCTAGGGGTATATTAGAATTGCAAATATAATTAGAATATATCAAAAAAAAATCAAGAACAGCAAAACTAGAGCACTTTAGAGTTTCACAAAATCTCCAATGATAACGCAGAAAATCCGAAAAAACAACTCAAAGACATTTAAGATAACCTTAGAAAAGGCAAAAATGGTTGGAAAAAGTTGATCTAGACCTCCTTCATATTCCTAAACATCCTTCGCGCCAACTATCCCAAAAATCCAAAGAAATTCTTTGTGCCAGGGTTTTTCGTGTAGAAGCTGACTGGAAAGCCTTAGCTGAGCCTTAGCCTTAGCTGACCCAAGCAAAAGCTCATACAAATCATTCGTGGCCGAGAAACTTAGCTCACTCTCACCCAGTACCGTAATCCTTCCTAGCGCTGGCGCCCTCAAGGTAACTGTACTGGGCGCGAGTTCGAATTCGAATTTTTTGGCCACAAAATAAATCACATGAGCTGCCGCTTGGGCAATGGTTTACTCAAAGCCTCTCTCATTCTTACAGCTTTTTTTAAGATTAAGTTTCTAATTTTTTTTGCATTTTGCTTTAAATTTAGAGCAAGGGGCGTTGCTACAGCCACAACACAAGATTCACACAACTAGTTTGCATTTTTTTAAATTTCTGAAATTTGATTTGAATATGAGTAAAAAAAGTTATTTGCAAAATTTCCTCTCATGCCTTCCTAAAAAATCGGCGACCTATCCTTGTGAAGCGGGGGGGGGGGAGCTTACACAATATTGAAATCTTTCAAAAACAATATAAATCTTTTGAAGAGATTCTCTCCAGCGAAATCAAACGCAAGTTTTATGATAGGGCATATTCGTATACGGAGTCACTTGGGCTGAGATTGCTCGAGAATACCTTTTTCTGCAATTGCGACAAACTTTTTGTAACCGTCGCGATGTGACTGGCCCAGATTTGAAACATGCACGAGAAAATCTGGTGCAACAAAGTCGAGGACGCATCAATCTTTTGCGGGAGTTGGAAAGGGGGCATAACTTAATTTTAAAAGACTCATGGGAGAAAAGGGAAAATGACAAGTAAGGCGTAAGAAATAGCGCCTAGAATGCAGAGAAATTAGAGGGCGAATAAAGTATGCTACTTGAAGAACACTGACAATTTCTAAGTTATGAATGAAGTTTCAGTAAATTTTCGTTTGAAATTTAGATGAGAAAATGAAGAAAATAAAAAATCTTACCTGCATCCAGATATGTGCTAATGCCTTCGAGACGGTAAATCGCTTGCTCATTTTCACTTGCAACAGACCATTGATGAATTCAATAGCTGAAATTCAGTATTTTACGATTAAAATGCTTTTGTAGCTAATAAATAATGTTTTCAATAAAAATCAAGGAAGGAAGAAGCTAGAATTTTTTCTTGGACTTGATATTAAAGTTTGGGAACAATTTTGCAATGATTTGCGACGCCAGTTCTCTCTTGATACTTCTCTTCCGTAAGAGTTCAGCTAATCTTCTCAAGATTTTTCACTATCAATTCTCTCATTGTCCCTTTGACAGGCATCCAACCTACTCCTTTCTGACAATATGTGAGTTCTTTGTTCTGGCCGAAGATGAGAGCAACGATTGATTCTATTACACCGTAACAGCAGTAGGTCTCATGTCTCATGGCGTAAAGTTTCAGAGGTTAACCAGAGATCAGAAGCGAAGAACAAAGAACTCAGTGAACTAGAGATGCGATTATTTGCGATTTTTAAAGTGAAAGACTGGAGGTACTGCAAAAATTCAAATAGGAGAAGTTCCACAAAATTAAAAGCTTCTTAACAGCTCAATCTATCTAATCAATCTATCTATCTAATATATAAAGAATCGTTATCTCAATTCAAAAATCTTCCAATAGCGGGAAACTGCGGCGGGTCCCGAAGCGAACGCTCTTCCAAACACCAACTTTAGATTACTGGTTTTCATTCTTGTTTAAATTTAGTATTTGCAGTATGTGAGATTATAAACAAACAAACTGAGCTACTTCATAAACAACTTTTTCCATTTTTCATAATTTTTTTTTCTTTTTTTTGCAAAATTCATCCAAAATTGTGAGAAATTGGATGTGAACGGTGCAAGAAAACTATGAAAGGATTTTCTACATAATACATATTCGAATTCACTATGCTACCTAAAAATCAATAATTCTTACCATTATTGCCAATTTCCTTCCACAAATTTGGTGGATACATAAATTCAGCGTTTTGAATCTGGTCGACGATATCCTCATCCTCATTGAATGGAAAAGTACCGGAGAGACTAAAAAACAATCTGCTCAGTTTTTCGAGAATCGTCTCAGGACCGCTTTTTTTACTGACCTGACATATACGATCACTCCTACGCTCCACATGTCCAGCGAACGATTAAAGCCTTTATTACAGAGCACTTCGGGAGCGAGATAGGCCGGAGTTCCCACTACGGATCTTCGGAACGACTTTTCGCCAATGATTCGTGCAAATCCGAAGTCACAAAGTTTGACCTGAAGTATGAAAAAATAAGTTACAAATTTTGGATAAGAAAATTTTTCCCTACCTGTGGAAAATCTGAATTTGACGTCAATAGGATATTCTCTGGCTTTAGATCGCAGTGCACAATATTTTGATTGTGCAGATATCGTAGCGCGATAAGAATCTGTAACAAAATGATATTATTCGTTTTTCGTTTTATCAAAATTCAAAAAAAATATTTTGATTTACCTGAGCAACAAGAAACTGCGTTATTCGTTCACTTAGCCGTCCCTTTTCGCTGGATAATATCATTTCTAACATGTCACCCTGAAAGTAAGAGATTATTTAGCTGTCAAATGCTATCTAGACACAGAGAAGTGAAAAAAATAATTTGAAAAATTAGATAAAGAATATTTGCAGAACAAACCTTCAACTTTTCCATGACTACGAATATCCGATCAGGAGTCTCAAGCATCTGCAGGAAATCGACAACACCAGGATGACGTACTTTCTAGAAAAAATAAAATGAAATTGGTGCCGCAAGAAATTTCATTTACCAAACATTTAAAATGCATTTTGTTCCCAAAAAGTAAAGAAAGCCCATAATGAGTGAGGACTGCTTGAAGAAGAACAGCAAATTTTCCTTCCATGAAGAGGACCGGAGGAGGGGGGGGGGGGGAGAAAATATCAGTCACGCAATTAAAAATTTTTGGGATTTTTGTGACCTTTTCGGAAGCATACAACCCGAAATCTTTGCAAAAGGGGAGCCGGAAGAGCCGAATAAAAGAATTAATCTACAAAGCTTGTTGAAATTCATTCATAACAATTGGTCTGAACAATCACAAAAAAAATCTTTTTTCAATATTCATACAATTGATTTGATTGATTACGAAAAAGTTATCTACTAAATCTAATTTCAAAGATTCCTTTATCAATCTTTTGCCCGTTTTTTTTTAACACGTCTCGAATTTTTCAATCTATGCCCGCTTCTCCACATCCAAATCTAGCATTTTACAGCGCTCACCTGCAATATATGGACTTCGGCTCGTAATAAATCCTCTTTGTTTGGCGGAAATTTCAATTTGTCTATCAATTTTACAGCCACATGCTTGCCAGATTTTCGATGGATACCACCATAAACAGTGCCGAATTGACCAGATCCGAGAACCTGAAACCGTTTATGCTTCACGTTGATGCGGTGATTCAATAAACAAATTTTGTATAAACAATTATGGCAATGATTTCCAATTGAGGTCTAATGTACTTTGTTCATGTACATCACACATTCACGTTTATTCGAGCGATGAAAAGTTAATAAAGATTGAAAGCAATCAGTCAAACAATGCAAGATTAGTGGAAATTGAAGTAGATTCAAAATCAAATCAATTGACAATGAAAGGTTGAAGAATTCGAATTAAAATTGTTCTCCAAAGATCGAGTTTTCATACGTAAACTCGAAATTCATCAAACAAATTGAAAAAAATTGCGTTCATCTTGTTCTAATCTATCAAATTTGCACAAACGTTTCACTCTAGGTTTTTTTCCTCTTTCAATGTGAATTCCCAAGGAAAAGTGATGAATAGAAAAAGGAAAGATAGCTTACCTCTTCGGCAAATAATTGATAGAGTTGAGAGAATTCCTGCTCACTTTGTATCGTTGCGCCAAGACGACTTTTTTCACCTAAAGGGAAATAATAAAAGTTTGCTCTTTTATCATACATTTTTCAGATATTCGGTTTTTCTTTCGTATGACTACTAAAAAAATTGCAGTTCTAAATAGAAGAAACGAATATTCATGTGAAAATTTCAAAATCTCTCAGCCTGGTATAATTGACAAAAATAGTATCAAGATTCCCGTCAGCTGCTAGATTACCCGTTACACATCCCACAAAATTTGAGTTCTATTTGTGTCGTCGGGGGTTTTTTTAACGATTCATCACTTTCTAGTTTCGTGAACCTTAAAATCGTTGCCAAGCTTCAATTTTGCTATAGCATGTGAAATGACGAATTTTGGAAAAATAAGTAGTCGTGCAAACATTTTAAATTAACAAGCTGTACAGCAAAAGATAAAAGAAATGTGTATGATTACGTACCGAAGACTGTTTGCGAAAGAAACTATGTTGTGTCTAGATCTTTCTTATCAATCATCAATGAAACGGGGAATTTTGCAAAATGTCTAGCAAATTATTCAAATTTGAAACGGGAAATTTTTGAACTGTTAGCATCTTAAGTCCTATAATTTCGAAAAAAATGTAATTTTTGTGATTTGATTTTTCAAACGGAGTAAACCCAAACCTATTTAAAAAATTTGGAATTTATCTAGAAAACTCACCCTCATTCGGCACTTTCAACTTCGCCATGTCACTCGCTCGCTTTTGGCCACTGATGGATGATTGCGGAGTGACCGGCATCAGCGCCGCCTTGATCGCAGCCGACCATGATTGGGCTGAATCCAACGAATTCTCTTCCGAAGGGGAACCAGCTGAAACGGGAAATTTTAGGGTAAATTCACAAAAATCACTAGGATTGTGGAAGCCAACTACCCAGGTTACAAATTTTTTTTTAACTGTAACGCTTTCAAGAAAATTAAGGTTGTAGACGAAAGATACAATTTTGTTCTGTTTTTTTAGTTTTATTTTATTCCTAAAAGTGATTATGTCCTAGGAAGATCTAAAATATACCCGGTAGAGAGCCGGTTGAAACGAAAATGTGAATAAAAGCGTTAGGAAGACTTCTTTTTTGCTTCATCCTGCCGATTTATATATTTTCAAATTGAAAAGTGAATTTTTATCAAGGAGAAAATATTTTGAAACCTTAAGAATACTGTCAAAAAGAATTGAGCGGAACAATAGAAAATGGAAAATATATAATAACATTGGGAAGACCATCTGGAATAGTAAGAGCTAGCCAAGTTTCAAGATTTTTTTCCAAAAATAGAGTGGTTTTGAAGAAAATGCAAAATAAGTTTTTCTGAAAAAAGTCCAACATTGACTATGTCGTAGAAAAGGTTGAAACATGAATTTAATCATAAATACTGGAAAAACAACTAAGAATCGTGGTAGCCATTTTTCATGTTCTGAAAATCTTTTTTGGAAAAAAATGCTTTTAAGAAGAGTAATTTTTTAATTCGAATTCAAAGACGTGGTCAAAACAAGAAATTCATTATGACTCGCACATGGAAAATATCCGTCTCGACTATAAATAACCAAAATTAACTTCCTCCTATAAATCACCCATTTTTTACTCCTTGAAAATAAATTCACCTCGACTAGTCGATGGAGATTCAGCTGCATAATGATTTATGGTGTCGTTCGTCACCGTTCTTCGTTTTGAGAAATGTATAAGTGGAAAATCGTAGGCACACATATAACCCGGTTCAAGCAGCATCATACTGTGAAATGAAACGATGCATTCGACAAGAAAATGTCGTTCGGAGCGACTTGTTGCGATCGGGAGAGGCGAAAAAATGATGATGGAAATTCCTTTTAAGGAGCAGAATTCTAAATACGAAAGAAAGAAAAACTAGAAGAAAAGAAAGAGGACAAAGATGAGAAAGCAGCCTGGTTACGCTAAAAATGCACTTAGGAAAATTAAAGAAGGTAAAAATATGGGCAAAAAAGACGGCATTCTTCCCAGTTTTCCTGGAGATTGGGAAGGAGAGGGAAAAAGCGGAAAATTGGAGGAAAAAACGACAAAGACAATGGAGTTTCAATCCAATTTGGTTCTAGCAAAAAAATTGTAAAAAACTCTTTGCTTTACTAATAACCTCAATTATTGTCCTCAGTTCTTTGAAAACTTCGAAAGGAGGAAATGTATAGGAAAGCGGAGCCTAGAAGAAAAAAAGCTCTATGAAGTCGATGGAATTTCTAGAAACAACGAGGTACAGGAAAGTGTAAAAAGCTCTAGAAACTTCCAAAAAAGCGTAAAAAGCTTCGGAAAACTTCCAAGAAAGCCTGAAAATTTTCTTACTTTGACAAAATAAATATGCTACATTGCTCCCAAACTGACTTTACAGAGTAAAACCCAAGGGAAAAAATCTAAGAAATGCCTGTCGGAATTGCACTTTCCTTAGCAACAAAGGAATCTTCTCATTAAATTGACACCCAATTTGTTCTTAAAACAGCTAAACCTTTCTCAGATACCCGGTTACCCGCACGTCCTGTCCCCATGCTCTAAAATCAAACCACGAACGTTCAGGGTCAGTTTACAAAGGCTACGCATCCGTTGTAGGTGATAGTGGTCTGATAGGCGTAAAATTTGTGTGATCACTAGAAATCGTGATTTGATTGATTAGGAACGGATAGACTGAAATGATTGAGTAAATAAAGGTAAACAAAACATAAACAATCCATTGTTTGAATATTTGTCAGAAAAATTCAAAACGAATTTCAAATCGCAAAAATCTACACACTTTGTTATATATTCCGATATAGCATAGTAATGAGATAGATATAAATGCAAATTTTCTTTATTCTTTGAATTCAGGTAGTAAGGAAGGATTGCAAAGCAAAAAATTCATATAAAGGGAAAGGGAAATGTTTCAAAGCTCTTGCCTTTCCCGGAACTCTCTGTAAGAAAAGAAGGCCCTAAACTAGACGTAAGCCCTGTTTATAAGTGAAACATTCTTTCAAAAATTGATCTTATTAATTTTCAAACAATGTAAACTCATTTCATTATGTAATTAACATGTTAGAAAACGATGAAACAGAGCGCTTGTATGTTCTTTCATGTTACCTACTGGTTTTTGCACTGATTACGTCGAATCTGACGTAGAAGATCACATCGCTTACGTCAAAAATTACGATTGACATTTTCCCGGCAAAATTATTGTTTTTTGGCTGACAGAAAAAGTTTCATTTCTCTATATGAAACTCGCCACGAGAGCAACGTCAAAAGCGATTTTGATCAAAAATATGAGAGCGAAGTCAGACATGAGTACTCTCACATGACATTTTAGCAAATAACAATGACATTTTCAAATAAATGTTACGTAAGAGTGAGGTAAGCCGTATTGAACTATAAGTGAACAAACATAGTCTGAAATTGCACACTTCACCTTTCCATGAAAATTCTATGAAAAGGTGTGACGGTCCTTTGCAAAGAAGAAGTGCAAAGTGTGAAGAACTTGTCGTGGTTCTGCACTTTTACGGCAATATTTTCTCAAGGAGAAGTGTACACGTGGAACATTTGACGTCTCTTTTCTCATTGCTATCGAATTACTGGCCAAATAAAAAAGATAAACGATCAATGTTGAGGGTTAGTTAGGCAAGAAGGGGTATAATTTCACAAATATAATTCTGAATTTCCGACTAATATTTCACGAAAAGTTCTAAAAAATGACAAAAAATCAGTAGAATTTTCGAGAAGTGAGGCAAAACAGAAGTAGTGGAAGCACTTTTAACACCAAAATGTGCTTAACGAGCGATTTATAGAGTGCAAACGGATAAATCTTATTTCAACAGCAGCCTGCAACCCCCAAGCCTCTTGAGAATAAGATTTGCAGCAGCTACCCTACTGGATGAAAAATATTTGGAAAAAATACATAGAGGTTTTTGTAAAACACCAAAGTCTAAAGAATGTCAAGAAAATCTGAAATCGAGAGGAGGATGGAGGAAATCTGAGAACTAAAAAATAAGACTCCAATTTTAGCATGTAACAGAATGGAAAAAAATTTGAGTGTGGAACAAGAGAATTTTTCGATTCATAGCCAATATTAAACATTGAAAATGACTAACAATAAAACCCTTAACCATCTGAAAAATTTATGCAAAATATTTGACAATAGAATAATATTATACTATGGTGCATAAAGATTAGCCTTATTGATATACAGTCTAATCATTCCTTTTCCTGACATGTGCAAATGCACACAGACTACACATCTAGCCATTTCATTCAAGACTTGATCAAAGAAATGTATTTCTTCCGAGTAATCTTCTTTTGTATTTTTTCTGCACTTTTTGCTCTTTTCAGGCGTCGAGAAAACTTTTAGTAAGGAGAAAGCTATGAAATTTAAGGTCTACATACTTTGTTTTATTTTTTGTTCAAAATGATCACATATAAAAGATCTGCACTAGAAAACCTCAAACAAAAAGGGAAATCAAGAAGAGTTTTGAAAACTTGGTAGATATTGATCTCCTAATTTTGAATGCAGATCGGTCAACAAAATCCAGAAATTGACGCGTAATGTTTGTAATTTGTGCGATCGCACATTTATTGACATAAAATGACTAGAATGTAGTCAGAGAAAAAAGGGAAAGAAAAGACTGTGGGAGCAATCAATGAGGAAGTGCGATTCCCACTTGGGGACGTTAGGCAGCCAAAATGTGTGATCACTGGTAAACCAATGATGACAATGACACTGGCTCATGTCCACCTCCTGACCTCACCCTGCCCCCCCCCCCCTCTCGACCTCCTAACTCGTTCCCCAAGACCCTCATCGAGACGATGCGCGTTCGGCCTCTTGACGTAGGCGGGTGTAATTGTACTCCAGGCAAAGCGAAAGCGAATGTATAAGGGCGTAGTCCGCGAACAAAACCCTTTCGTCTCAAATAAGAAGAAGGAATCAAGGACATATGACGCCGACATTGGAGGAGCTCTTATAATGGAACAACCATAAGAAGAGGTGAAGAGAATGATGGAAAAGGGCAGTGTTGAGTCAAAAGTTTTCTCTGAGTTCCTGTAATTATATGGACACCGAGTTGAAAGACTTTGACCAAGCCTTGCCCAAGAGGCTTTCCTCAAAACTCATTCGTGATCGAGAAATTCAATTCTGAACACTCGCCCAGTACCGTGATCGAGAACGCTTTGATCGGAGAGAGTACGGTATTGACAAAAGAATTTTAAAAAACGAGAAACACGAAAAGAATAGTAAAATTTGCAAATTGTACGATTTAAGCTGTTAACCCTCATTTTGAGCAATACAGTCTGTAAACGACCTAAAGGCAGTGTAGGAAATTCGCAGCACCCGGGTTTCTTTTCTCAGAATAACGATCCTGATCGGAAATACTGCTTAAACAGCAGCTCATACGATTTATTGGTGGCCGAGTAGTTCAACTATAAAGTCTTGTCCGCTACCGTAGTCTCGATACTCTAGTGGTTGAGAAGAGTACGGTACTGGGCAAGAGTTTACAGTCGAATTTTCCAGCCATGAATGAATCTCTATGAGCTCTAGCTTGGAGAATGTCTTATTAAATGCCTCTTGAAACTTTCCTAATAAGATGTTCAGGTAATCAAGCTTGCCAGGACGCAGCCTTTGAAATTTTGAAGAAGGCGAGATATGTTCAAGCCATAATACATCTTGGATATTTTACATTGTTCAAGCATTAAGATTGAATGTATCAAAATACGTGAGCGGACCAATCAGCATCGTAGTGTACGGTACACTTAGAAAGAGTACGGTAATGGGCGAGAGTTTAAAGCTAAATTTCTCGGCCATGAATGAATCGCATGAATTGCAATTTGGCCAATGTCTTGGCTAAG